TCTCTCTTGGATTACCTTTTAAGAATAAAGATGCTGGGAATCTGCCCTTTTTATTTTTCAGTTTTGCTATTCTATAAGCAGGAGATCAAACAAAGGGTTTTCTCTTTCATGCATTTATTACAACAACAAAAATCACTCCTGTAAAATGGCAGTGATCTCACAGGGTATATATGTGTAAATGGCATTTTGCAAATTGATTGAATAAAGCAGCTACTGTGGAGTGCAGACAGAGAGCCAAGCTCTGAGTTGTGCTGCTCCAGACACCTCTCCGATGGAACAGATTATTTACTGGAAATCTGGGCAGCCTTAGCCCCCTTTTCATCTATTAGCTTTTCAGAAGCTGAAGATGGTGGCAAATGAAATATAAATCAAAATACTAAACAGGACAGATTCCAGACAAGCATGTGTTTGCTTGGCTTTATTGGATATGAAAAAAAGTTTGCCTTTTATTCAGCTCCAAAGGCTGCCCTATTTATGCGTATCAATACTGCTTTCAAGTGGGACAGGAAGGGATGTAATTTAACTGGGGATTTAATTTAAAGAGATATTGTGCAGCAGTAGCTGCTGGATAGCAAGGCAAAGGCTACCAGGACCTCATTACACTTTAAAGTGCTTTCCATGCAAATTAGATTTTTCTGCACATGTGCAATCAGTCACTCAGTGAATAGCTGGCTTTTTTCCTCCCTTCTCTCCCCTCCTCTCCCCCATGCTTGACTTTCTTGTTCGAAGTGTGAATAGATTCTGCCCATGTGCATCACAGTACTGACTTCTATTTTAATTTCATCGTGATGCTTAATTATGTCTACTGTATGGTTACATGCTGCTTAATTCTTCCTCCCAGCGCTCTTCATAAAGCTTCTCCAGAGATTTTATAGGGTAATCAGCCAAGTCAGAAGTGTGCAGTCAAGTAAAGCAAAATGACTATATAAACTATTTAACATTCCTCAAAAATAATTTTACCTTAGGCTGCTCTCAAATTAATTGGAAACCATTGGGAGGTTCCTTGGTTTGGATCAATATGGATCATCCTGACACCCTATTCCCATTCCCAATGACCTTGTTGGGTTGAGATTAGATAGCAGAATAATAAAATAAGTTGTACACAGCCCTTTTAGAATTTTTTCCTCTTCCCTGCTCCATATCCCAGATTTCACTCACTGGAGATGTCCTTTTTTTCATAAATCAGGAACCTGAAGCAAATTTAAATGTAATGTTCTATGAAGCATTATCTGCCACACTTGCTTCAGCAAAGAAATGACTTGCCAGAGGATAGCCATAAAATTCCAGTATTGGAAGAGTGTCTGCCATTCAGGAGCTGGGTATCCAAACAGTTTTCCCAAACTGTGAACCTGCATTTTCAGGGGAACTGTAATGACATCTAGCTCAGTGTCATGGATCTGCTTATTCAACTTCAAACAAAGCTGTACCACACAGGCTGAATCCCTGTTCCCTGGTCTGCCTTTTGACTTACCAGGAGTACCTCTATCTTGTCTAGATTAAGGTTCAATTTGTTTGTTCTCATTTTCTGCAGTACAGTTTTCACATCATTGAAATTGGGAGGGTGAGGAACACAAAGAAAAAAGTGTGAAGTTCAGTAGTGTGATATATAGTGTGCACCAGAAAACAGCATTTTCCGTGCAAGAAATCTCTGCATACTGACTAAACTGTAGAACATTGAATATAGGAGAAGAGAAGAAGCCCTGGGGAGTAAGCAATTTCCAACATTGTAATTGTAATAGGAAAATAACATTCTACAGCATCTTCTAACACAGAAAGCTGTTTCTCCATTCTCAGATCATCATCATCTCCCTACTTCCCAGTTCAGAAAACATGGTCTAGAATGTGAGGACCAATTGGCACATTCTATATACGGAAGGCACAAATGCATTGACTCATGGAATTGTGCTATTCAGGAATGGCAATAAGTTTAAGGAAAAACTAAAGGAGTGATGTTGGACAATGGGGGTAGGGAATGTTTAAGCTACAGCACCAAGGGCAGAGAAATCTTGTCTCTGTTGACAAGTATGAATGGGTAACTAACTAGCAACATTCTTCAGGACTCAAGGATCTGTGATTCCCTGTGAGGGAAAAGGACTGAACCACAAGACCAGAGGACAAACATATAGTTGTCTAAAGAGAGTACTGAACGGAAATTGCCCATTTTGAAAACAGAAGCTAAAAAGAGAAGAGGCAAAATCTCTTTGATTTTATGAGATAGTCAGAAATCTGTAACCTACAACATGCCTTTCACATTGTCCAGATATATTCTTTGCCCTTGTTTGGAATGTTTCTTTCCAAACTGACCAGCTGGATTTAGTTAATTAATCCACTGACACAGGCTGTGATCTCAAATGCACTTGAAATGAATTTCTCTCTGCATGAGGAGCTATTGGATTATAATCATAAAGCAGGATGATTGGAATCCTTCATGGGGTTTCCATGCTCCGCTATGATCCGAGTTAAGCTCCTGGCTCATGAGCAATCCTAACACTTCTAATTAGATTAAACAGAGGTTATAAGCTTAATGCAGGCTTCCCGGGTGACACACTGTATTAAGTAGTATCCAAGGTTGAACTGTGTGTACTGTAGCACTGATTACTGAAAGGCATGCCATGATATTGTAGGGAGATATATTTTTAGAATTTATGATTATGTTAAAAGCAAGCATTGATAGTTAGTAGCAGTTGCTTATTACTTGTGTAAAGAGATCAGATTAATAAGTAGATTTTACTGAATGAACCATCTGCAATTTACTAAAATGTAACTAGTAATCACTTTTGCCATGAAATTGTCTTCATATTTCTCATTATAGTAGATATTTTTGTTGACAAGCTTCTAATCTGACTGGATTGTATTAGTGTCTTTACTGAATATCCTAGTTTAAAGCTGGAAAATGTATGTATGTGTGCATTCTTATAACATTCACTTTTATAATGCAGCTTAGAATCTAAAAATCCCCTTTTCTCCTTTTGAAGACAAAGACAGGGATTTGTTTGCTGCAGGATGGTAACCAGGAGCCTTTCAAAGTACGGCTGCACTTAGCCAAAGACATTTTGACAATTCAAGAACAAGACGTGATCTGTGTGTCTGGTGAACCTTTTTATTCTGGTGTAAGTATCATTTTCTCCAGTGACTTCACGACTGATAATATTGTACATGTTAAACTTTCCAAATTAATTTTTGGCTTTCATGGGGAGATGTAGAAATATACAGCAGCTGTAAAATTGCTTGACATAAATCCTGACTTGATACTTCCTCGTGTCCTTACTGTAAGAAGTTTTACATTTTTATTTGCTCTGTTTGAAAGGGCATTTTCAAGACTGATTTTTGTACAAATGTTGTTTTGTTCCCAATTAAAAATTGTAGCTTGAAATTGATACTTCTGCACCAATCGCAGAAAACACTACCAAAAAATAAAATAAATGATGGTGCCTCAGTCTTATATTTGAGAAAAGGTTGCCACATTCTTGTCGGGCTGTCTCAATCAAAGATTTCCCCCACATCCCCAAGCAATGTAGTCAGCCCTACAAAGAAGCTGTGAAATAGATCTAAACGGAACATTTTGGCCTTATTTCCCTTTTGTTGAAATAAGAAGACCATAATCTGCAATACATTATCAGGGGAACATTCACATTTGGATTTGATACATGGCAATTCTTCAAAGTTCAGAGCTTAAGGATCAAAGATACTTGGAATTATGGTTCTCAACTGTTGCTCATTTCAAAATCTATGATGATGCCTCCAACCACTAGCCCTGAACAATCACAGATTCTCAACATTCTGTTAGCAGCATCCTATTTGTAAGTATATGTATGTACATCTTTTAAACAAGGTACAGAGAGGTATTTTAAACAAGGTACAGAGAGGTATTCTCTAGCCCAGTGGTTCTCAACCTGAGTCCCCAGGTGTTTTCATCTCCCAGAAATCCCAGCCAGTTTACCAGTTGTTAGAATTTCTGGGAGTTGAAGGCTAAAACATCTGGGACCCACAGGTTGAGAACCACTGCTCTAGTGCTTTGCATTCCATCTAAAACCTTCCATCCCTATAGCTATCAAACTTGAGAGGGCCATCACTTCAGTTGCTTACGGATAGCAGGGCAGGTTGGGGAAAGCAATTCAGATGATGGATGTATGACTATTTCCAGTGACGGAAAAGGAGTGTGCATTTCAACTGTGACCATATTTCCATTTCTTTATCTCTCCAAACTGTGATCAACACCTTCTTCATTGCAGTCTTGACCAAAGCATGGTATTATTTCGGAGTGATGAGATGAGAAGAGCTATTGAAACAATTACTCTACTTTCTCTTTTTACTTGTGGATCTCATATTTCCCTCTGCTATTCAAGGGAATTGTATACAGTAAAACAGGCCAGAGGTCAGCTAGTGTATTCACCAAGAACATTCTTTGAAAACAATTAAAGAGGTACTAAAGCACAAGTGGCCTTATTGAGTGTTGTGGAAAAATGTTTCAGTTCTGGATGAATCTTCTGGATTTGGTGACTGAACATTTTTTTCCTGTTAGGGGATCTCCAAATTCTAATATGCTAAAGTCATCAGAGACTGGTCATAATTCTTCATGCCAACTTAGTCACCAGACATCAGATAGTTTTGTATGGGGTATCCAGTTCACAATGGCAGAAGACTTGTAATCTGACCTAACAGCAGGGGCTGGATCAAAGTGAAGTCTGAATCACACAGCCTTCAATCAGAGAAAAGACTGTCACTTTTATAGAATAATTAAAAATGGTTAAATAAGAAACCAAAATTATAGTACAGGTTTACTATAGTTTATGAAAAAGCTAAAACAACACATTTTTTAGTGTTATAAGTGATGTAAACAACCACATGCGATATATCAAATCTTGTATCAAGTTACATTGTTACACTTACGGTCACTTATGGTAGCAGTTCCATGATTTCAAAGTTAGCATAATACAGTTTTATTTCATAATTGGCTGATTTTGCAACTGATTACACCACCTGTTTCATGTCAGGTTATACAACTTTATTTGCAGCCTCTTCTGCAACTGCTTTTCACAACTGTTCACCCAAGTGGTTAGCCAAAGACATGATGCAACTGGTTACTTGTTTTTCAGAAGCTTACTTGCAAATGCTCTGCACAACTTCTTCTACAGCTTTGTAATACTGTGCAACTGCATGGGAATTTTCCAACCACAAGTATTATATTGGCTTTAGGCCCAAGAGTATATGACAAAATGGGGGCTTGTTTCATTAAATGTAAAATAAATAAATATACTATTAAAATCAATGGAAGTATAAATTCTGAATAAATAGATGATCTGATAAGGAATGTCTAAAGTAAAGAATATACTTGCTAGGCTTCAAAAACTAGCACATGAAATATTGATAACTGGTGGCAGGATTTCTTCTTCACATCATGATGGCAGTACTGTGATCCATTCTGCCATTCTCCATATAATGCATAGTAATCAATATTGGTAGAATAATAATTGTGGCATTTCCGTTATTCACTACACAATGGCAAATTATTTCATCATCAATAATATGTTTTGTAGGATGCCATAGCGGAAAATAGAGATGTCCTGGAACTGTTGGTCTCAGAACATCCTGCTGTGGCTGTGTTGCTTGTTTTTGCCTTAGAAAACTGTTCAAGGATTATGCTTCCTTACCTTTACTAAAGGAAAATCAAAGGAAGTTAGTAGTTTTAGTCAATGACAGCTCTACCATGTTATTGGGCCATATTTGATTTTATTTACTATAAAATCTATCAGTTTTCAGTTGCATTTGCTTGAGATTCTAGAACAGCCATTGCTTCTATTCTTGCTGGTGTTTAAATAATATCTATGTATGCCTGCATAGTATTTTTCATTTTCTCTGCAGTGCTATGGCATATAGCCATAGCCAGTGGTATATTCTTATTAGTTTTTTATTAGTTTGACTGTGCATTATGTCGACTAAAAGAAAACCCATTAGTTAATTCATATTAGTCTGATAATGAGATTTACTGTTCTTGCCAGAGCAATTTTAAAATTGACATCTTTCAAATACTTTGCTTTTATTCTTTTTGAAATAAGATGGGATCCTGAAACAATGGCTTCAGCCTAACTGTGAAAGACAGACTCTTTGCATAAAAAATGACTATTTCTGTTACAATTTCAAAACAATGTTTACTACTAAATGTACATGATAACTTTTTAAACAGATACCAAACCAATGGCTGCCATTACAAGGCACACAGTTAGAAAAGTGACTCAAAT